CTCCTGCCGCCTAGAAATTCTCCGCTCTTGTGATTTCTGCTCCGCTCTGCCGTCTACCCCTCCGCTGCGCAGCCCCAGGTCTTCCCTCTCCCTTGGCGGCATAGCCATGGTCCCGTATTCAGGTTCCCCTTCCTCAGAATCTTCCCCTTCGTCATCCTCCCAAGCCAGCAGAGCTTTCTCGGGGTCCTCACTGATCCCAGATTTCTCCATCTGAGCTTTCAGCTTCGCCAATTCTCGCTCTAACTGCTGCTCCCGTGCAGATTTCCCCTTCGCCCTGTCTCCCTTGCTGTAACATCTAGCTTCGGTATGGCCTCTCTTCCCGCACCCCGTGCAGGTCGGCGCCTTAAGGCAGTCACGCCTGAAATGCCCCTTTGCTCCACAGGTGTCGCATATTATTCCCACCGTACAATCCCTCCAAAGATGTCCTTGCTCTCCACATTTATGGCAGCGTCTCGGACCTTCTGATGACCTCTCTTTCCTCTCTTCCTCTCCCCTTCTTCCTTCCATAGCTGCCCAGGCTGGCCGTCTCCGCTCGTTCGGTCGGCTGGAACTCGACCCCTGCATCCCATCATAAAATCTCTTCCCTTCTTCCACTTCCTTCGCTACCTTGTAAACCTGCCGCAGCGTAGCTCGTACTCCCAGAACGTACAGTTGACTCCTCATGTCGCCTATCAGGTCCTTGTCCAATCCGTTGACAAATTTTGTCACTAAGAGGCGCTCCTCCATACACCCCATATCCTCCGCCAGTTCCAGCAGCCTGTTGTAATAGGCTAGCAGCGACTCCGAGGTGGCACGCGTGAAGTTTTGGAACTCCGTCATCCATTCAGCAGAGTGCCCCGGGAATTGCTCCTGTAAACTCTCCAGAAATCGGTCAGTTATCATCGCAGGTGAGAAATCGCCTCTCTTGCACTGCATCAACAGCCCTTGCCTTTCCACGCGGTAGTGAGTCAGGGCCTCGCCTTTCAGCGTCCTCCCCAAACCTCTGAAGAACTCGATAGGATCCAGGCTCTCCCTCTCCCAAAGGTAACGCAGGTCGTCTATCATCATCAGATAATTCTTGAGCGTGGGCTCCTCCCCTGGAGTCCCCGAGAAACGGTCTGGTACTTCAATCTTCGGTAGAGCTGCGTTCATCATACGGCCCGTCCCCCAGCTCGTGTTCCCTCTGTCCCCGCTGTCTGTAGGCCGACCACCTCGCCTAGCTTCAGTAGCTTCGTATCCGTCTGCTGAAAAGCTGTGGTACGCTTCTCCTCCCCGCTGACTACGCTGTTCCTCTTTATGATCATCTTCCCCGCGCTGACTGCGTCGTTATTGATGATCATCTTCCCCGCGCTGATACTCTTCTCTTCCTTGAGCAGGATTATCCCCCCGAGATCAACTCCTAACGTGACCAATTCTACTCCCACCAGAGGGTGATCCACCAGTAGCACTAGGCGGCAGCTCTCCTTGTCGGTTTCCTTCCCTCTCTCGATCTGATCCCTGACTCCCGCGAGCGTTAGCATCGCCCTCTTCAGCACGGAATCCAGGTGTCCTGGTTGGCAGGCCCTGTCCCTCCATCACCCTTGCAGGGAAACGCAATCCCGAGCGCAGCTGATGAGTGTGCAGATCTTGATCGTGCCTACTCATTCCTCACGGCGCATCACCGTGAGCGACTCAAGGCCTCTAGCTTATCTCCTGTACTTAAGACAGTCGTCGATCTCCTTTTTGCTTGTATGTAGCAAGCATAACACTCCCCCTCAGGGGCTCCGTCAGATTGCTTATAGCTTCTCCTACTGCTAGTTCCCTCTGGATTAGGAAATCAAATTGCAGTAAACTAGAAACATACAAGCAAAAAGCAAGAAGCCCGAGTGCTACTCCTGCCTACATCTATTCCCACCCCCTGCCTAGGTTGCTTCCCCCAGAAGCAAGCTCTTGTGCACCAAGCGAGTCAGCCGAGCTGCTCGCGAGGTCTCCAAGGTGCTAGCTGGGTTCCCACTGGGCCCACTAGGCATGCACCGCCTTCCAGCCTGGTGACTTCGAATTGAATTCCCAGGCTGGCATTGAATTCGCCTGCCAGCCTTGTGACTTCGAAATTGAATTCACAGGCTGGAATTGAATTCGCCTCCACCAACCTCCTTGAATTCGCCTCCCCCTAACCACCTCGAATTCCCCAGCTACTCGGCTCTGCAGTACAGTACAATACATTCCAAGCACACAAATGAAATTAGAGTACAAAAGCGGCAAACTATAGTACACCCTCACCTTGGCTGCTGTGAAATGCACACTTAGTTGCGAGCTAAGTGTTAATAACACGACACCAGGCCCAACCTCAAGTTCGAGCTGGTCCTGGGTTCACAACTAGTTTTCCGAAACCATGAGTCACTAGTTTTACGAAACCTTCCCGCACTAGTTTTCCGCATAGCACACTACGTACTAAAGCTCAGAGCATAAGTGTTTCGGGCATGGACTCAGGAATTATCGACGAGTCTGTCAATCGTCGACTTACGGTACAACGAGCGCGTGATGTAGTAACGCGTGGCCGTGAAGCGCGTAGCAAGTGCTAGTTTCCTTTCTCGCGCCGTCGCCGTCTCCTCATCCCTCCGGTCGTTCGTCCTCTGTCCGCTCCCGTCCCATCACCTTTGCGCCTCTCTTCCCTCCCCCCCGTCGCCCTCCCTTTCTCCCCTCCTTCCCTGTCGCTCTCGCTCTCCCCCACCTTCCCGTCGACCTCTTTTTCTCCCCTCCCCTCCCATCACCCTCGATGCAGTCGTCGCCCCATGGCTCACCTCGTCGGCTTCCGCGCTCGCCCCGAAATGGCCCCCCCCCCCCCCCCCCCCCCCCCCCCCCCCGCCCGTCGCCTTTCCGATCGCCCACCTCGTCGGCTTCCGAGCGCGCCCCGAATTCTCTCCCCTCCCCCCTCCGTCGCCTTTCGTCTCTCCCCTTCCATCACACACATCGTCGCCCTCGCTCTTGCTCTAAAACGCCCTCCCCGCGCCCTTTCTCCCTCCCCTCCCATCACTTTTCCCGTCGCCCTTGCAATTTCCCCTCCCATCCCGTCGCCCACTTTCTCTCCTGTCGCGCACATCCTCCCCTCCCATCATCTTCGCGCTCACAATCTTCCCTCCACTCGCCATCGCGCTCACGTGCACCTGTCTTCGCATCAACTTCGCGCTCAGAATCTCCCCCCCTCTCCCCGTGGCGCTCGCTATCTCCCACCCTCTCCCCGTCGCGCTCGCTATCTCCCCCCCTCTCCCCGTCGCGCTCGCTATCTCCCACCCTCTCCCCGTCGCGCTCGCTATCTCCCACCCTCTCCCCGTCGCGCTCGCTATCTCCCACCCTCTCCCCGTCGCGCTCGCTATCTCCCACCCTCTCCCCGTCGCGCTCGATATCTTCTCTCCCTTGCTGTCGCCCTCCCTTCCCTTCGTCATCGTCAGCGCTCATCCCTTCCGTCGCCTCACTTTCTCCCATCCCCTTCCGTCGCCCTCACCTTCTCCCGTACCTTCCCCGTCTTCCTGGTGTTCTCCCCTCCCCTCCGTCAACCTTCCTCTCTCCCCTGCCCTTCCGTCGCCTTCCATTTCGTTTACAGTTTCCCGTTCCTCTATCCCCTTCACCCTCTTTCTCTTCATTCGCATCACCTTGCCCATCATCATTTCCCCCCTCGTGTTTTTTTTCCCCTCTATTCCCCGTTACTGCACCTCTCCTAGGCCCCAAGTCCAAGGCAGCAGATTGCTAAACGCGAATTTGGTGATTTTTAGGCTCTAGTGTGTGTATTTGGCTCTCTCTCATCACGTACATGTGTGTCTGCTTGGGATTTAGAGTGAGGTGTTGCGTGATGTGAAATTGGTGTAAGTATTGACTCTAGTGACTGCAGGGGGAGTGCCCGTCGCTCAACTTTGCGTCAAGTTCGCACACTTGTGAATATGTGTGAGAGATTCTGGCTGCCAATCAAAATTGAAAACGAACTTTCGTTCGTGGTCCACTTCGAAACTCGTCTGAAGGCTGGAAAAACAAAAAAAAACACACGGCACTTCTTTCCAAAACAATACGAAAAAACTTGTGGAATCAAGCTGGACCCAACTAGAAGGGGGGGGTCACTATTTTAGCTACGGGCTTTAAGAAGTATGAGAAAACAGGGTGTGGAGAGATAAATAAGACAAGGGGTATGTCCATATCATGGTTCGCATTTCCCAGCCTTGATCTTGACTTGGTCAGGAATGCAAACTCTGGTGGCTTTGACGAGCTTATCGATGCAATCGTAGCCGTTGACCCGCTTGTAACACCCTTTGATTCCACGGAAGTACTTGACCTGCAGGCCAGTGCAGCGGTCGCCAGTCCCCACCACGTACGCGCGAGTCTTGGGGCACACTCCTTGCGTGAAGCTGAACGAGCTGCCTATGCACGCCTGCACTTGCCATGTGATTTAAATGCGAGTAGGGGCGAGTTACAGGGTGGGAGGAGGGGGAAGCTGAACGAGCTGCCTATGCACGCCCACACTTGTGAAGTGTCGGTGGGGGGGAGTTAGAGGGTGGGGGGGAGTTTGAGGGTAGGGGGAGGGGGAAGAGGGGGCGAGAGTGAAAAGGACGAGAATGGCATGGAGGCGGTAAGCTAGGTAGGTAGGAAGGTAGGTAGGTAGGAAGGTAGGTAGGTAGGAAGGTAGGTAGGTAGGTAGGTAGGTAGGTGGGCCCTTAGGTAGGTAAGTAGGTGGGTGGGTAGGTAGGGAGGTAGATAGGTAGGTAGGTAGGTAGGTAGGTAGGTACAAAGGAAAGTAGGTAGGTAAGTGGTAGGTAGGGAGGAAGGTAGGCAGGCAGGCAGGCGGGTAGGTAGGTAGGTAGGTAGGTAGGTAGGTAGGTAGGTAGGTAGGTAGGTAGGTAGGTAGGTAGGTAGGTAGGTAGGTGAGTAGGTGGGTAGGTTGGTGAGTTGGTAGGTATGTTGTGAAAGATATAAGTAGCTGGAAAGATATTTACACACAGGGAAGCAGCGGGCCAGGTGAGAATGAGATCGTCAAAGCTATGAACCTACGTGGGAATTTAAATGCATAGGGAAGGTCTGGTAGGACTGTGGAAAGGAGAGGCAGGATGAAAGGGACAGGAAGGAGGCGGGAGAGGGTGAAGTGGGGGGAGAGATGGAAGGAAGGGGGAGAGTGGGAAAGGGAAGAGGGCGACAGAGGAAAGAGCAGAGGGAGAGCAGAGGGAGACCTCGAAGCCTGTGAGGCTGCCGACGTCAGTCTTGGGCACGAGGCGGCTGCACTTGATGCCGGGGTTGAGGCGGAAGAAGTCAATTGCGGAGAGCGGCGGGGAGGGCACGGAGCGGATCTGGTCGCACGTCTCCCCGGCCTGCACCAGATAGAACTGCGAGCACACCGGGATGAGCAGCGCCGCTGCGCTCTCCGCCCGCCGCTCCACACACACCGCCTGGCTGGGCGGCAGCACCCCGTTGCTGTCACCAAAGCAGTCCAGCCCGGGGTTGAGGGCCTGGAAGGCCTCTGCGCAGGGCTCATAGCAGTCGCCGATGAGAGAGAAGTACTTCGCTAGTGACTCGCATGTGTCGCCCTGGGGGGATGGGAGTGAGGAGGGGGGGGAAGAGAGGGTGGGACAATGGGGGAGAGAGAAGGTGAGAGAGGAGGACAAAAGGAGGCGTGGAAAAGCATTCCTGGGAAAAGGGCTGCTGGGCAGGGCTGGGGGGGCAAGTTGGGCTCGGTGCTGGGATCTTTGGCAGGGAAGCCTGTGCAGAGAAAGACGGTGCCAGTGACTTCACATGTCGCCCTGGTGGGAGAACGGCGAGAGCAGAGGACGAGATGAGAGCAAGGAGAGCACAAGCGTGATGCGAAGGAGAGCACAAGTGTGAGGCGAAGGAGAGCACAAGCGTGAGGCGAAGGAGAGCACGTGTGTGTGTGTGTGGGGGGGGGGGGGGGGGTGTGCGTGCGTGTGTGTGTGGAGTGGGGGGTTGCGTGCGTGCGTGTGTGTGTGTATGTGTGTAGTTAGGTAGGGAGGGAAGGAGGGAGCGAGGGAGCGAGGAAGGGAGGGAGGGAGAGAGGGAGGGAGGGAGGGAGGTAGAGAGAGGAGAGCAGGGGACAGGAGGGAGAGAAGGGAGAAGAGGGAGAAGTCCAGCCCGGGGTTGAGCGCCTGGAAGGCTGCTGCGCAGGGCTCAGTGGGAGTAGTGAGGGAGAAGTAGGTGGCTAGCGACTCGCATGTGTCGCCCTGGGGGGATGGGAGGGAGGGGGGGAGAGGAGAAGTGGGGAGAATGGGGAAGGAGAACGGAGGATGAGACACAAGGACGAAAGATCAGGATGAAAGGAGACAAGAGCAGGGGAACAGGCGGAAAAGCAGTCCATGGATGAAAGACTGGAAAGCTGCTTCACAGGGATGGGGCTTCGATCTTCGGCACTGCTGCCAGTGGAGAGAGAGAAAACATTAGGCTTCAGCAGCTCACAAGTGTTTCTCCGGTGGGAAGACGGTGAGAGGGAGCATGAGAAGAGAGCAAGGAGGGTGGGAAGAAGTGCATCAGTGTGAAGGTTGGGAGTTGGCAGGTGACTGATGGGAGATGGTCCAGAAGAATTAGGAGGGGCATGGAGTAAGTGAGGAAGAGTGGTTAAAGACATGGAAGGCTGCAGGCTACGGGCAGCAGCAGAGGGAGGGATGCGCAAAGACGGAGGGAGGGAGGGGGAGAGAAGAAGAGGCGGACCTGGGACGTGGTGTAGTAGACGGCGCAGGGCGTGAGGTCGGCTGGCTGGACCACGTTCACCACCGTGCCGACAACGAGAGGAGCACTGCAGCTCAGACCCTGGAGGGGAAGGGGAGCAGAGTGGGGAGAGTGGAGGGCGAAGGGGATGAAGGATGCAAGACGTGGTTGGAGTGTAGGGATTCAACGTGCAGAGTGTGGGCAGAGCCTTTTGGGAATGTGAGGAGGAGGCTCAACAAGCAGCAGTGGAATGAGGGGTGTCATTGCGTTGACGACAGAGAGCATTACAGAGAGTGGGGAATGTGGAGGTGGATTGTGAAGAAGAGACTGGGCGTTCAAGGCAGCAGGAGTGCAAGTACAAGGCCTTACTGGGTTCTGGGCGTAGAGGCTCACTGGGTTCTGGTCTTGGAACTGAGCGAGAGTGAGGCCGTAGACGGGGTGGATGTCGGCACACGTGACACCCAACGACACCACCGTGTATGTGCTGCTGGAGTCGCCTGTGCATTGCGGTGCAGAGTGGTGCAGATGGATGTGTGGTGCAGATGGATATGTGGTGCAGATGCAGTGGTGCGGATGGATTGGCGCGGATGAATGGGTGGTGGGAATGGGTGGGGCCACTGGTTATGAAAGGATATGAATGTGATTAAAGAGGGATGGCTATAAGAACTTGAGGTAGAATCTATACATTAGGTAGTGGGCTCAAAGTTGTTAAGTGCATCAAAAATGGACAAAATATTAATGAATAGGGAATTAACTGCAATTCCAAATGAGGTCGGCTGAAATCTCCAATTGGTGGGCTGGAGATTCAGCTGATCACATTTGGGTAAGGCTGGGACGTTGGTGTAACAACAAGAAAGGTTAAGTTTGAAGGCTTAACTTAACAGTGGTAACAATGGCATGTTGTATAGCCAACATTTCAATGTCTCATATTTTATCAGTGTTCTTCGTGGTAGCATAGCCAGAGTGATTAGACATCTTAAAATACAGGAAATGCCGTATCTGGCGGTGGAAACACAGAAGTAAGAAAAAAGCACAAGAGAGCAAGGCTACCTGGACCACAGGAGAAGGTGCCATCAACGGTGGTGCCCTGCCTGAATCCCGGAGGACACACACATGAGTACGACCCCTTGCCATCATTCACACACGTGCCCACCGCACACGGATTGTGCACTGCTGCCCTGCATGCATCCTCTGGGGAACAAGACAAGAGATGAAAGACACAGCGAATAGGAGCTCACTTTGAGGCAAATGATAGATAGTGGCTGACAGTCAAAGAAATGTGCTGTGGTACACAACACCTATGCAGCCATGTGAGCACCGTGGTGGTTATCAAGACTTGTGGATTGACATATGAGACACCTTCAAAATGACAAGATAGAGACAGGAAAGAACGCTCACTTCAAGCAAAGGAGAGAGCGCCAATGTAAGCTGGGGGAGGGCGCTCACTGTAAGAACAGGAGAGAGAGAGAGAGAGAGAGAGAACTCACTGTAAGCGCAGGTGCGCGAGTTGTCCGGTTGAAGCGCCTCGACGAATCGTGGGTCGTTGCAGTCGCAGTGGTTGCTGGCCCCATCAGGTGTGGGCGTGCACGTGAAGTTGCCACAGGGGTTGAAGAGCGGCCCAAACACCCCATTGCTGGTGCCGTTGACGCTGCAGGGGTCCTTAGCAGCGCGCACCACCGGGTAGATCCCAGGCAGGGTGTTGATCCCACACACGCCGTCGCCCCCCTGGATGTCCATCCGCATGTGCCCGCCGTCGCCCCACTCCGGGCCCCATGAGTTGCGGATGATCCAGAAGGGCGGCGCCATGTGCGGGAAGGTCGGGTCTGAGCCGGTGAGGCGATAGCCCACCAGCAGCACCACGTGGTTCAGGTTGTACGTGAAGCACGAGGGGTCCGCGTACTTGGATAGCTGGATGGGATTCGGGGGTGCATGGGTAGGAAAAGCACCACATGGTTGGGGTTATATGAGAAGCAAAAAGGATGCAGTAAGTGAGTATGTGTGCGCATATGTGCACGTGTGTGCATGCACGCATCCGTGCGTGCATGCATGCGTGTGTGCATGTGCATGTGTGTGTGTGTGTGTGTGTGTGTGTGTGTGTGTGTGTGTGTGTGTGTGTGTTTGTGTGTGAATGAACTCACCCCGTCATGGTTAAGGAAGGAGGGAGCGGTGGCCTGCACATGCACCACCACGGGCTGTCGCTGCACGGCCAGCAGCAGCCCAAACCAGCCGTGGAATGCCGTGCGCTCAAACCCGCCCACTCTGAACGGACCCCCCGATGGCTTGCTCTGCCGTCGGGGCCGAGGGGGGGCAGAGGAAGGGTCAGGGAGGAGGGGTAGGGGAGGGGGCATGTGAGTGGTCAGTAGGAAAGAGGACAACATGGTGGGGCATGTGAGTGGTCAGTAGGGAAGAGGACAACATGGTGGGGCATGCAGTGTGGTTCATTTTGAGATGCTCTTTAGCTTCCCTTGCGCAGGAAACAAAGGAAGTGGCCAGACACCTTATGGTGATGACCAAGCACCTCATAATTGATCGTGTGAAGAACAAGACCCTCGTACTTGATGGTGATGATGAAGAACCTCCTACCAGGCGAAGGGACACTTAGAACGACAAGGGGATAAAAGAACAGAATTTGGTGAGACAAGTAACCTACCAATCCAGGGCCCCGTCCCTTGCCGCAGAGCCCAAGCGCCTGCGCGAGCAGAGCAAAGACAGGCATCCTACAGAGCGGGCTCTGGCTGCTGTTTCTTTTTCCTCCCCTCCCTCTCACCACCGTCCCGGCTGCACCATCCTCCATAAGCCCCAGATTTTTCTTGGCATTGAGAGTGACGAGGTACTGGAAGGCCTGGGAGGGCGAGTTGCCCTGCGAGCATGAGGCGCCGAGGGCGTCGCGCAGCTGGGAGACGGAGAGGAGCAGCACGGCGGAGAGGTTGAAGAGAATGCTGTAGGCCATTTCCACGCTGCCCACCACCGCGTACGCCCAGCAGTCACCTAAGAGGGGGGAGGAAGGTAGTGGAAAAGGGGAAGAGGTTGCTAAGTGGGTTAGTAAGTGGTTAGTAAGTGGGTTCCTGTGCTGCCAATGACTGCTGGGATGGGAAAGCAGGAAGGGGCAGGAGAAAAGATGGGGAGGAAAGGGAGAAGTGGAAAGAGATAACGAGATGGGTAGGAGAGAACAAGTCACAACAGCTCCGTTCACACCACAAGCATCCATACAATGCCTGCTCTCTCATGCCCACTCACGCCCTCTTGTCCTTTTAGCGCCCAGTTGAAAACATATCCCACTCTATCGCATCCTGTCTCATCCCATCCCATCCCATCCCATCCCATCCCATCCCATCCCATCCCATCCCATCCCATCCCCTCTCCACTCCTCCCCATGCCTGTGCCCTCACCACAGGCGCCCTGGTTCTGAACGGGCCATGGCAGCTGCTGGTTGGTCCAGGAGAACGCCTGGCTCACAACCCACACCTCCTCCTCACCCCTTCCCGCTCCCCCATTTCCTCCTCCTGCTGGCTGCAGCGCCTGCATGCCCACGCTGGCGTAGCGGAAAAAAGGATTCGCCCCCACTGGTGACAGCGATGCCTCACCGAACCTGAACCCAAATTGCTGGCCTGAGATAGGGTAGGGTGGGGTAGAGCGAGGTAGGGTAGGGTGGGGTAGGGCATGGTAGGGTAGGCTAGGGTAGCATGGGCACGGGAATGATATTTTATGTGTGAGGTTAGTGAAAGAAAGCCAATGGGTCACGATGAAAGTGAACGCAGTGGAAAGAGACCTGAGGGGCGATTGCATGATGAATCAGTGGAGAACAGGAAGAAAGAGAAGCAAGAAAATGAAATGAAACGTTGCAGATTCAACTCAAGCCACACATACCTGTAAGAGTGGTTGATTCAGGGAGGCCTGGAAAAGGGGAGAGAGAAGTGCATAGAGAGAGAATTCAAGTGAACTTGGGTAAAATATGGTACGATAGCAAGGTTGAGCGGGCCATTCCAGGCCATTCACGGTGTGAGTGAGCAATCGGAAGAGTGGGACAACACAGGGAGAGAGACAGTTGCAGAATCTATGGTAAAACGTTGGTTAGTCGCTCCCCCAGAAATAACTCCAGCTGAGAGACAATAGACACCAGCAGAGGGAGCACACTGCATCAGGGGTCAGCAGGGAGCAGCGGGGAGCAGCAGGGGCAGCAGGGAGCAGCAGGGGCAGCAGCAGCAGGGGCAGCAGCAGCAGGGGGCACAAGCAGCAGGGGGGAGCACCAGGGGGCACAAGGGGGAGCACGGACCTGTGGTGATGTTCCACTCGAGGATGGAGTGGAGCTGTGGGGAGTCAGAGGAGGAAGCAGTGAAGCCCATGAAGAACGACACCTCGGCTGCACTGGGCTGCAGGAACTCGCACAGCGACACCTGCATCGCCAGCACTGCCTTGCCTGGCCGGGGGGACACTTTGGCCGACAGAAACACTCGCAGTGATCCCGTGCCACTGCTGCTGCTGCTGCTGTCATAGCCATCACCGGCAGTAGAACTAGAAGAGGAAGGAGAGGGGTCGAAGACGATCCAGGCGTGCTTTGTCTTCCCATCGTTGAGAGTGAAGGGCGCTTTGGCAGTTGCGATGGAAGAGGTGTTGCCCCTCACACTGAGCCCCACGTGGTTCCTGTCTGGATCGTTGGCGTCGGTGCTCTTAGAAGTGTCAAACTCCACGGCTATGCTGCGCTCATCCATGCCTGCGTACCCCAAACTGCCGCCCCCGCCACTGCCGTCACTGGTGCCACTGCTACCGCCTGTAGCAGCGTCACTGGCGGCAATCACAAATGCAAACCCGTCCCCAGCGCCTCCCGCTGCTGCGGCTGCTGCCCTGCTGGCGGTGGCTGGTTTGAGAATGGAGAAGGAGAAATAGACGGTGAAGGCCAAGGGGCGGCCGCAGGCACCGGCCTTGAGGGCGAAGGAGAAGAGTGGGATGGGCAGTTGGAGGAACGCTGCACCCCACGTGTTGGGCTGTGAGGCCGTCAGCGTGACGCCGCCGTCGTTTGCCACTGCCGCCCTCCCCTTCACTACTGTCTGTGCTGAAGTTGGCTGCACGATTACTGGGCCGCCCCCTTGGCCTGCTAGTGGGAAGGACATCCAGTAAGGAGAGGGAAAGGAACGGGCAGGCAGGGAAGGGGTGAAATGACAGAGGGCAGAGAAGACTGTGGTTAAAATTCAGAGCTTTGAGAGCTCTGCGGCACATCCTCATGTTGTGGGCATCACTGCCACTGGGACGTTGCCGAGCGGCGGGTGAAGGAAGTTCGGAATAGGCAGCTTATGTGCTGGTGCAGAAATGGGAGTTCGGAATGCCGAGTTAAGACGATGTGCCAGAAGAAAATTCCACAAACATGTCCCTTCCAGCAAGTACACAACAACCCACACCACCCCGTCTCCCCCTCCTGCACTCACTTCCTTCAGGGACGCAGCTTCCAGGCAGCTCCCCATTGACAAACCCGGGGTTGCAAGCACACGTGGGCACTCTGTTAGGCCCGTCCACATAGCACGAGCCATGCCCGCCACACGGGGGGTCGGCAGCACTCACTCCGCAAAACACATCACAGAGCTCCTCCGGGCGCTGCACCGCTGCATCCGCAGCCGAGGGCGTGGCAGGCGTGGGGCAGGAGAAGCCTTGGGTGGGGGTTGCGAGGCAGTTGAAGCGGAAGGAGATGGAGCGTTCTGAGCAGTTGGGTGGGGAGGTAAAGCCTGAGGAGAGGTAGTTGTTGTCGAGATCGTAGACGGTGAGGTTTGCCGGGATGGGCTGCAGTACGGGGCCTGTCAGCTGGTTGTTGCGCAGGTTGCTGCGAGACGGGTGGGAAGGAGGGGAAGGAGTGGGTGGGAAGACGTGGGAGTGGTTTCAAGGAGCTCCAAAGATTGTTAATGATCCATTTTGTTGAGACGAGGGGGGAGGACAGGGGATGCGAAAATGGAGTAAAGAGAATGGGATTTGAACCAGGCAGGGGAGGAATAGGGGAGGGAGGGAGAAGCTTCGAGTGAAGGGTGATCAGTTTCACTGTCAGGGATGTATGAGTTTTTGCAGATTAGCAGGCATTGAGGAGTGAAAAGGTGGGGGAGGGGAGGGAGAGTGGTGGAAGGGGATGAGAGGTGGACAGTGCGGAGGACGCACAGGAGAGTGAGGCGAACTAGGCCGGTGTACTGAGTGGGGATGGTTCCATGCAGAAGGTTGTTGCTCAGGTCACTGCCGAGGAGGGAGGGGGGGGGGGGGGGGGGGAGAGGAGAGAGAGGAGAGAGAGAGAGAGAGAGAGAGAGAGAGAGAGAGAGAGAGAGAGAGAGAGAGAGAGAGAGAGAGAGAGAGAGAGAGAGACAAGGGGGAACGCTGAAGCAACGAGCAGTAGCAGCAGCAGCAGTGGTAAGGAACAAGGGCGAATCCTTGTAAGTGCACAAACAGAAGCAAGCATTTGAAATTAGCTAGGTACCCTTGTTCTCAACTCAATCAGCAATGGCCATGCTTTCATAAGTGTGCGTCCAGCACAGAAATCGACCAAGCAGAAACAATGTTGAGTGAGGAGGAAGTTGTATGAGGTGTGCGGATTCTTTGCATGGCTCAACCTGCATGCAAAGAATAAGAGGGGGCGGGGAATAAGGCGCTCCCATGGTTTGCCCTGCGAGGGTCACTCACATGGATTCCAGTTTTAATAGTCCCCCAAGAAGAGTGGGCAGGGTGCCGCTGATCTGGTTGCAGCAGAGGTTGCTGCGGTGGCGAAGAAAGTGAGAGAGGGTGTACACATCGGAGGGCAGCAGGAAGGAGAGTGTGAGAATGACACATGGCCAGCAGCAGGGAGTGAGAGAGGGGGAGAGTGGGTGGGGTGAAGGGGAGGAGTAAGAAACAAACGAGGGGTATGGGAAAAATGAAGTAAGGTGCAAACATGACAAAATGGATGGGGGACGATTTTTTGGGGGGGGGGGGGGGGAGTGGTGGGGGTATGAAACACCAATTAAACAGAGAACAAAGGAATGAGGAGAGATTTGGAAGAGAATGTCGAAGTGGGGAGCGGGTGTGGGGCAGTGAGTTAGAGGGAGTGAAACGATGAAAATGGAAAATGGGAGTAAGGGGAAAAGGAGAGCCGGCACATGGGACGTCATGCGTGGGAGTTGGAGAAGCACTGACATGGCTTGGAGGTTGGCGAGACTCGAGTACTCAGTGGGTATGGAGCCGGTCAACTCGTTGCCACTTAGGTTCCTGCCATGAATGAAGAGCCAGCCATGGGTGAGGGGAGAGAGGGGGCGGCAAGGCAGGTGGGGAAGGAAGGCGAATGGGAGAGGGAGATGGGGAAGGAGGAAGGAAAGAGGGAAGGAAGGGGATGTGAATTTGGAGACGGATTTACAAGAAAGTGGAAAGAAACGAGAGGCTGCGGCGAGAGAGAATGCCACTCACCTTGTTGCTGTGCCAGGCTGCATGAAGTGCAAACGAGCAATTGAAAAGGATGGGTCCCCAGAAACGCATGCTACATGCGGAGCCTCAGACGTTCCCCTACCAGAGTTGCAGAATCAAAGGGAAAGGGGGGGTGGGAGAGGGCAGAGGTGCAGTGCAGCACTCACAGGGCCTTGAGGGTAGTTATGGTGCCGATGCTGGTTGGGAGAGGGCCAGTAAGGTCGTTGTGGCTCAAATCGCTGGGAGTGAAGACAGAGATGATTTGGTTGGTTGGTGGTATATTAGGTGAAATGAAAGGGTTAAAACGGAAGGTGGTAGGTGGGAGCGGTGGGTGCACATGCATAGCAACAGCTATTCATTATCACACAGATATGATGGCCATGGAGCAAGAAGATACCTCTTGTTTGGAATTAGTTGGCATGGCATGATAAGTTACATGACAACAAGATGGAGATAAGTGAGAAGACATCTGAATGGCATTAGTTTCAAGACTTTTAATCGTTGGGGATCTGTTGGAATCATTCCAAACTCCATTGTTTCCTAAATTGACAATAGAAGCTCCAAGACTACTGCCAATTCAAACTAAACTACTACTGTGTCATCACTTTTTCTATCAAATAGAGTAATTTATACCTGTGCAACGAGACGAGTTACACGTTAGGGTGCGAGTAACGAGTTTCGTTTTTTGTAAAATTTTCTCGGCCGAGTCGAGCCGAGTTTTACTCGCCGAGTTTTTTTTGCTCGACGAGTACTCGCATGCTTTTAGGCGAGCATTTTGGGAACTCGCCGAGTTTTTTAACTCAGGGCAACCCAGGGCTTTCATGGGCTTCCCTAGGCTTCCTGGGACCACCTTGTGTTTACCTGGGCGGCCCTGGGACGCCCAGTACTTCCATGATACCAATGGCCTTCACTAGATGTTATGTACAGCGTCGTTCTAGGCAGGAGAAAGGCCCATGGCCGAGCATTACTCGTACTCGGACGAGCTTTTTTAAATGCTCGCCCGAGTTCCCTTTTATAGGCCGAGTACCGAGTTTCCATTTGGGGGAAAAATGCTCGGGCGAGTATTACTCGACTTGGGCTCGTACTCGGCCGAGCAAGGCTAGGGACGAGTCGAGCATTACTCGGCTCGCCCCTTTGCACAGGTATAGAGTAATTCAACTGGGTTATTGTAGCCGACATTAAGACGCTTCAGATCCCATCTATAGCAAATCATTTGGTTCTGTGCGCTTCAATTTGTTGTTTGAGTCTTAATGAAGCCTATTGTGACTAAACCATGACGTATGGCATATGGCGTGACATGGCATTTGGTATGGCATGGATGACAAGGAAAAAGCAAGAGGACGTGTGAAAGTGCACATGAATAAAAAATGATTGCATTTACAGGTTTGTGATGACATCCAATGCAGTGATCCCTGTAGGCACAGTCCCTGATAGCTGGTTGTAGCTCAGGTCCCTACCATGCAAACGCAGAGCGGCAAGGGATAAAAAACAAAGATCAAAGGGGAAAGGGTGCAACAGAGGGGGTGGAAGACATAATGATGAGAAGATCAGGAGCAGGCGAATGGTGACAGACAAGGAACCAAGAGGGAAAAAACATTACAGCAAAGCACTGGGGGATGTGTACCAGCTTGCGGTTGTGCATGAGTGCACACGTCACGTGTATGTGGGGTGGGGGTATGCATATGCTCACAAATGGAAGAGTGCACATGAGCATGTGGAATAAGGCACAGAAACCATTTAAATACGTATGAATGTGGACGACTGTACAACACAAGTGCTGTGCAGGGGTGGTGGGGGAGGCACATGTGCAACTGCATGCAAATATGCTTGTGCATATCTGTGCTTTACGGAATGGCACACCATTGCATGACATAGCACGGGTGTGCTTCCTCGTACAACCTTTTGCAACGCAGGTTTGCTAAGCACATGAATTTTACAGCGCTTGCTTGGTTGTTCATGTGGGTGTCTCTGGTTATGAGGGACGCACGCAAGCAGTGGGGTGCTTACAGCTTCTGGATGTTGGCATTCCACGCAATAAATTCTGCTGGAATGGAACCCATTAAAACATTGTTGGAAAGAGATCTGGAGGAAGAAGTAGTTGAGCGACATAGAGACAAAGGGACAACATGGCAGAGAAATGAAGGGACAAGGCAGAGAGCAGGTTGACATGTGGCATACAAAATGAGGCAGAATGCATTCTGATGGAAACACATTCGCTTGCTGCAAAGAATATTACTATTATGCCAGATAGCATGAGAAGGCCAGTCAGTGCTTTTCACCACAGGGAAAGATGACAGGGATGGTGCTGTTGCTGGGAGTTCAGTGAAGGGAGGGCATGTGGTGTGCAGCGAAGGGAGTGCAGTGAGGGGAGAGCATACAGCTCCTGAAGATACATGAAGCTGGATGGAACGAGCGTGCCCGACAGGCGGTTGAAGCTCAGGTTTCTGTGAGGAGAGAGGGAGGGAGAGGCAGAGAAAGAGAGAGGTACGAAGGGATATTAGTAGAACCTGGCAGAGGCAGTGGAGAGGGACGGAGGAAATTGTACATTTGTCTGTACACGGGAGGATATGAGGGCATGAGAAAAGTACAAAGAATGACCACAAACAGGTCACAAGACTAGTGAGGGATAGTCGCTAACAGGTTGGCGAGTTTGGTGAGGAGGGAGAGGGAGGAAGGCACGGATCCAGACAGTTGGTTGTGACTCAGGTCCCTGTGGCACAGCGGGCATGGCATGGCATGGTGTGGTGTGGTGATGTGTGGTGTGGTGTGGCATGGCATGGTAGCTGAAAGTCACATTCGTAAAAAGGCGAGTAGAAGAGAGAAATCACATGAGCGAACATACAATGACAAGCAGGTGGTTGTGAATCGAATGCATGTCAAGTAGAATGTGGGTCCGCATCCACACTCATACTCAAAAGAAGTGCATCCACACTCATACTAAAAGAAGTGCATCCACACTCATACTCAAATCATCGCCCTCATCTAGAATGTGGGTCCGCATGAAGAAGCCAATAGCTTGCGTCACTCAAGCGGGTTCAGAGAGGAACAAAAAGGGGACTGCAGGAGCTAGAACGGAGTCAAAAGGGGTCCAAACACTCACAGGCGGGGTGTGTTGGTTAGGGCAGCGATAAGCGGCTCTGGGATGGGCTCCGAGAGAAGGTTGGATGATAGACCCCTGAACAAGGAAATGGGGTGCAGTGCGGTGGTAAGGGGTGAGTGTGGCTGGTAGGGAGGGACGACAATGATTGGAAACGATGTGCATGGGATGGAGACACAATCATATGTTGTAGCACGACACACACTACCGCATGCCTGGTACTGACAGGGTGGAGAGCTCGCGAGAGGGTGCGACACATGCTACTACCTAGCATACTGACAGGGTGGAGAGTTGGGAGAGGCGGCTGTAGCCCAAAGGCAGCGAGCCCGAGAAGATGTTGCTGCTGAGGTCGCTGTTGAGGAAGAACGGGAGAGAGGGGAGAGGGTGGAGGGGGGGGAAAAGGCGGCAGAGAGGAGCGAGAGGGGAGAGTGGGAGAGAAGAGAGGGAGGAGTTAGAGGGTAGTGAGCAGAGGAGAGAGGAAAGTAAGAGAGGTTGATGGGAAGACTACGAAGACTAGGATAGAAGATAAGAATTTTTCGAAGAGTGAGATTGTGGTCTAGCTCTTTCGAGTGTTTTAACAGAGGGGGACTCCAGTGCGAGGGTGACTGATGGGTTGCAGGGGACTGATGGGTAGGAAGGGAACTGACAGGTGGAGAAGAGAAGTGGCAAGACTAAGGATGGTCGGCAGCGGCCCGGACAATTGGTTGGAACTCAGATCCCTGTGCGTGGAAAGGAGGAGGGGATTGTAACGAGGAGACACATTCATTTTTCCCGATTGTGGCAAAAACTCATTCAAGTTTGATGGAAACGAAATTGCTGTCACCAACATTTTTTCTCGTGTGTCAACGCCCGTGCGGTGGCAAATGGTTGGGCAAGTAATAATTCGTTGGTAACTGAGATCAGAGGAACGAGCACCTTTGCTTCAAGGTTAAGGGACTGGAACATGCTGAGCTAGAGATGAACTACATTCTCGCACATTTTCTGCACGCACTTCCTGTATCCAGGAGTCCAGGTGTTACACACTATCCCCAATTTCACCCATTTGTGGTTACCAGAAACGGATGTTTAATGCGATGTGAATTGCATTCTATGATGTGAGATGCGGCTTCATTACTTGATTATTTGTGCGTGCATTCATGCTTGCTTTCTTGTATGCGGGTTGCTAGCTGCTCACACTCACAGTTTTAAAAGGTCTGTGAGTTCGGTGAGGGCGGGAGGAAGATTGCCAGAGAACTTGTTGGATCCGAGAACCCTGGTTGGGTTTGGGGAAGCACACCCGCGATATGCCACTCTGGCTCGGAATAACTGATGTTTACAGTGGGGACGTTCGAGGGCGCATGGCGAGCGTGCTGATGGCAAGTGACTAAATGTGATAACAGAGAATGAAAGAATGATGGGCAACGAATTGAGACGGGTGCATGTGTTAAGTGTATGATGCCTGCAAGTGTGTGATGCCTGCAAGTAAGTCGAGTGCGAAGCGGATCTCACTTAGCGTGGATTCCACGCACGCAGATAGCTTGTGATGGGAAGGACAGTGTCGAAAAGTGAGCGTATGCTGCTGCTGTGGTGATGAGAATTATAGCAGACTATGTGGCATGCTGGCATGCAAGCTATTTAATGCCATGGCATGATATCCACGACATGGCATGCATGACATGGCATGCATGACATGGCATGCATGACATGGAGTATGCCTCACAAATTTTGCAATCGCTTTAGTGTAGACATGGAAGCAGGAATAGGGCCGTGGAGAGAATTGCCCGACAAATTACTGCAGGGAGGGAGGAAGGGAGGGAGGGAGGGAAAGGGGGGAGGGGCGAAGGAGGGAGGAAGGGGCCAAACCAGAAGCATCGCAGCTAAAGTGGTAATTTGATCGTGCCATTGCTGTCGCCAATGCACCTGGGATCATCTCCACTGTTGCAGAACAACAGCACCTCCACACTGAATTTAGACAATGGGGGAAGATGTTTGGAGAGTATGAAACTGGGAGAACACCGGCCACGACAAGCCCTGCAGGAGACCAAGGTGGAGGACTGAAGGAAGGTTGTTGGAGTGAGTCTTCCTGATTGCAGCAGCCGGGATGAATGGGGGTCGACGGGATGCAGGGTGTTGTCGAGTCATATCCTGGCCTTGCATTGCAACGCAGGCTCAACACTGACTGTGCAATGAAATGCAATTTCTGACTCAAGAAATATCGACCTGACTGACAGTAGGGCATTACAGCGATGGTCGAACAAGGCGCTACAGCCAGATCAGAACAGGGCCTTACAGTGTTGTGAGGTTAGAAAGTCGGGACAGGAAGGTGGGCAGGGTGTTGGTCAGTCCGCTCCTTGACAGGTCACTGCCAGCCGACGGACAGGAGATTAGGATGGTTGGCTGAGGCAGGTGGATTAAGTAAAGCCGTTCTTGGAGGGGTTGAGTGGATGGATGGTGAGAAGAGGCCAGTGCGACAGGTGGTTTGGAGAGGGCAGCTATAGCATGAGCAGCAGCGTGATTGGATAAGTAGGGTCAACAGGAACGAGCGAGACTGAGAGCATGCAGAACGAGCACAGATAAGGAGAATGTGAGCTAAAAAATCAAACAACCAATTCAAAGACAGCTGAAACAGTCATTTAAAGAGCCAGCTCAAGAGTGAACACAAAGGCGAAGAGGCATGGTCGAAGGCGATGCCTCTGTAGCGATGGAGCAGTCAGCTCAGGAATCAAACTCAAATTTCATCTCAGGGGTCAACTCAAAAGTCAACCCAAAAGGCTCCTTAATGACAGAGGCCCACTCACGGCATGCATACTGACAGACATCACATCAGCATGCTGAACAGATAGGCAAGGCGAGGATTCCTGCCATGCTGCCCAGCGACGTGGCATGCCACCCAGTGGTTTGCGGGCTGATGACACGGCCGGTCCAGTGGGGTTCAGTGCGGCGCAGTGAAGCAGTAAATTTAGAGGTATTGTAGCGATAACAGAAGGTGCTCACAGGGAGGTGAGAGATGTGATAGTTGATATTGGATCCATGAATGCTTCAGAAATGCTGTTGCCACCCAGGGAGCTGTTTAGAGGAGGGGGGGTAGGAAGGGATTGGTTAAAAGTGCAACAAACATGAGTGAAATGTGAATAGATCATGACAAGCAGAAGTGGCAGATGTGAGAGTATCTCGTGTAACGAGCCACAGAGCTGCGTGCATGAGCATGGGGGAAAATGTGCAGTCACAATATACAGAGCATGGAGAAGCACGGTGGAGGGGACGGGAGAAAGGGCCAGCACTAACAGTTCTTGAAGGTAAGCCGCCCCCTTCACATAACTTGGTAGTGGCCCCGTTATATCATTGTTACTCAGGTCCCTGCCATGCATGTCATGGCATGCCACGTCATTCCACACCATGCCATGCATGCCATGTCACACAATGTGTTGCAATGTGAAGGCATGATGAGTAAGTATGAAGGGGGTCATGCCTGCATACCCTTGGCACTCGTTGCACGCATTCAAAGTATAGAGAGACAGGTGAGGCCACGGTGATATCTTGAGAGGGATGTGTTGAGAGAGCGATCCGATCCACAGCAAAATGTATTTCAGACACAGCATGCATGAGCCACTGAATGACGGCATATGCACACGTGAAGCCCCATGCCATGCAGAACCAACCCACTCATGAGTCAGAGGCAAGTGTGGAGTGGAAGAGGCTAGGAAGGCGCTCACAGCAGTGTAAGGTAGCCGAGTCTTGTGATTTCTGTCGGAAGAACGCCTTTGATCCCACAACCGGCCGCACGACTGAAGCGAGAGGGAGATGGAAGGGGGAGTGAGATGGAAGTGCATGAAAGAAGACGTGAGAGGAAACTTGTAAGGGAGGGTGAGGGTGGGATGAAAAACAAGAGTGCGGCAAAAGGTAGCAACTGATTAGGCGGGCCATGAACAGGGCCGGATGGATTAGAGGAGAAAGCCTGGTCATTGCTGCTGGGCATTTCAATCTAGCTTTCAGATGTACAGTGAGTTGGAGAAGTGCAGCGTTGTTGTGGATTCTTGATAAGAAATCCATGATGGGAGAGAAAGAGCATGCAAGCATTACACAGAACTTAAAGCACGCTGGTTTTCTGGTGCAAGGATGCTGGTGATGGTGCTGGTGGTGCTGGCACTGGTGCAGGTGATGGTGTGCAATGCAAGCTGAACTCTGATATGTCAGTGAGTGCTTTGGTTAGCTTACAGCGATTGCAAGTTTAGGTTGCTGTTTATAATTGCTCCTGAAAGGGTTCCTGACAAAGGGTTGTTGGAAATGTCTCTGGAGAGAGGTGATGAGAGAGACGACGAAACAGAAGGATGGTAGAACGATGGGAGCAGTTCAGAGTAGCTTCCATAACAAGAGGACCCATTTAGTGTAAGGTGACTCCACAGGCACAGTTCAGTGTGGCGGGGCGGTGGTTCATCCACCAGGTTATTCAGTGAGGGGTGGGGTGGCCTGTAGATGTGACGTGAATGGACGTGGATTCAACCTTGCAAGGTTCTTCTAAAAATCTAAACGAGTTAAAAAAAGAAAAAACAGGAACACGATGCAAGAAACATGACGGCTATAACGAAAGCGAGCAGTGTCGGAGTTACCCTTTTCCTCCTCCCCTTGGTCCCTTACCCTCTTGTGTCTTCTCTGTCTTCTGTCTTTACCCGCCTGTCTTCCTTCTGCCTACCTTCCACACCTTGTACACTGTGTTCTTCCTCAGCCACTTCCTGCCCCCTCCTGTGCTCGTGCTCGGGCTGCCCGTGCACGTGTCACAGGACCTTCCTGCTGAGGTCGCCGCTCCTTCACTGCCGCCGTGTTCGTCTGGTGATCCACCGTACGCTCACCCCTCTCATTCTCCAGCACCAACACCCCTGATCCCCTTACTTCCTTCACCTTCCACCTCTCTGTCCCCAACCCGACGTCCAACGTGTCCTTCCTTGCCCTGCGCAAGTACACTTCCTGTCCCTCCATTACTGCTGGCTTAGCCTTCCCTCCACCCTGCTGTTGCCGCTGCTCATACCTATGTGCATCCCGCAGCTGTGCCGTGTGCAGGTTCTCGAGCGCTGCAGGAAGCATCTCACGCATGTACCTTGCCCTTGCTTCTGCCAGCGCGACCCACTGTTCTGCCCCTTTCACTCTCACCACTTCCGTGAGCACCCTTGGCGCTCCCACGGGTAAGATCGGCTCTTTCCCAAACAACAGACTGTAGGGGGAGTAGTCCTTCAGCGACGCCTGCTTTCCGAACCTATACCCTGCCGCTATCCAGTCTAGCTCCTCATCCCAGTCCCTCTTCCGCTTCTCCCCGTACGCCCTCAGGTTCCTCTTCAAGGTCTGCACCAGGCGCTCTGTCAGTCCATCGCTCTGGGGGTGATACCTGGACGTCTGCCTGTGTGTCACCTTCGCCTCATCCAGCAGTGCTTGAAATTCCCCCTTGAACTCTGTTCCCTGGTCAGTAAGGACTTCCCCGGGCGCCCCAAATCTGCATAACACCTGCCCCTTGAACGCCCTGGCCACGTGCCTTGAATCTTTGCTTGGAATTGCGCAGACTTCCAGCCACTTGCTGGCGTGTTCCACCATGATCAAGATGTACCGCTTCCCTCCTCTACTCAGTGGCAACTCGCCAGCCAAGTCCAGTGACCACCTAAACCCCAGTCCCCTGATCGGCAATGACTGCAACTCCTGCTTTGCCTGCATCAAACTGGCCTTGCTCCTCTGACAGCCCTCGCACCCGCTCACCCATTCCTTGACCTGCTTCCCCATTCCCTGCCACCACCAGCCTGTTTTCAGCAGCTGAGTTGTGCGCTCATGCCCGAAATGCCCCAATTTACTGTGCACCTCCTCAATCACACCTTCTCTCTCATGTGGTGCCGGCACCAGCTTCCACCCGTCCACTGACTGCAGCTGCAGCTGTCCTTGGTACCATCGGTAATGGTGTCCTCGTGCCCTTACCCCGTCTGCCACTTGCTCATCTGCCTCCGTCTCCCCTCTGATCCACCGCAGTGCCACCGGGTCCTCCCATATGTCCTGCGGCCCTCTCTGCTTCACTACTGCCGCCGCCTCCCCCTGCTTGGCCAGCATCATCAGCGTATGCACTGGCTCTGCTGACGGCGGGTTCCTTGAGAGACCGTCCACGTGCTGTAGTGTCTTCCCTGGCCTGTGCCGTATCTTGAAGTCATATTCATGCAGCGTGACCGCCCAGCGCGCGTTTCTCCCCGTCAGCCCCTGATGTGTCATCAACCACTGCAGCGGCTGATGGTCGGTGATTAAGGTGAATTCTCTGCCCTGCAGATACACCCTAAAGTGCTTCACCGCCCATACGGCCGCCAGCCCTTCCCCGTGATACGAGCTGTACTTTGCCTCCGCCGGGTTGCAGCTCCGGCTCGCATATGCCACTACTCTCTCCTCCCCATCTAGCTCCTGGCAGAGGATTGCACCCATGCCCTGGCTGCTCCAGTCAGTGTATAGGGAAAAGGGCTTGTCCGCCTGTGGCAGTTGCAACACTGTTGCTGTCTGTACTGCTTCCATTAAATCCCTCAGCGCCCCTTCCTGCTCTGCTCCCCACTCCCACTTCTTGTCCTCCTTTAACAGGGAGTTCAGCGCCACTGCTCGCTTGCTGAAATTGGGCACAAAGCGCCGGTAGTAGCTGAGAAACCCCAGCACCGCCCGCAATCCGCTCCTGTCCTTGGGCTGCTGCAGTCGGTCCAATACCGCAACTTTAGCCTTATGAATCCCTATCTGGCCTCCCTTCACCTCATACCCCAGATACTGCACTGTCGCCTCCCCCCACCGACACTTCTTTGGGTGGCAGGTCAGTCCTGCCGCTACCAGCGCCTCCAAGGTACGCTCCACATCTCTCACATGTTCCTCCTCTGTTTTGCTGAAGATGACCACGTCATCTATGTAGCATGCCGCACACTCCAGCCCCCGCAATACACTATCCATCACGCGTTGAAATATGGCTGATGCGTTTCGCAGCCCGAAAGGCATGAACAGCCACTCATAAAAACCGTCCGCCCCGTGAAATGCGGTCTTGCGAACATCCTCCTTCTTGATCCTGATCTGATTGAAGCCCTGCCAAAGATCTAACGTGCTAAATATCTCCCCCTCCCCTAGTCTGTCGAAGATCTCTTCTGCTGTTGGCATGGGGTACCTGTCAGGCACGGTCAGCTTGTTCAGCGCTCGGTAATCCCCACACATGCGCCTGCTCAGCACCTCCCCCGTAAGATCCTTCCTTGCAGCTATCACTGTAGGCGTGGCATACTCTGATTCCGACCTCTGGATCAGGCCTGCTTCAAGCAACTCCTTGCATTTTTCCCTGCAGACATCCTCATCCCCCAAGGCCATCCGCCTCTTCCTCTGGAACACCGGCTCATCTGTAGTCAGCTTCAGCTCCATTTCTTTCACCGTACATTTCCCCAGCTCTTGTAGTGTAAAGGCGAAGGCATGTCTGTACTTGGCCAGCACTGCTTGCAGTGCCTTCTTCCCTTCCTTTCCCATGGTGTCTCCTATCGCCCATTCTGCCTCCTCCTTCACGGGTAAGCTCACCCATGCCCCCACTTTCTGCACCTCTCGCATCTGTTCCTCCCCTTTTGGCTCCGCTTCCAACACTACCCCTCTCCACATCCTCCGCACGAACCACCTCATTACCTGCCCATCCATTGCCTGCCCTAGTGCTCGCCTCCTCTCCTGCTCTGTTACCCCACTTGCCTTCGTTGCGTTTTCCTCATACCCCATCGCCAGCTCCCTCTCCAGCGCCGTAGGTTCTTCCCACTGCTGCTTCGTATGATCATACACCATCCCCTCCCCTGGCTCCCCACCTTCCATCTTAAACCCTGCTGCCTTTTCATAGGCCACTAGGGTCGGCCATGCTCTGCGCTCTGCCCCCACTTTGTTGCAGGGGCATTGTGTCGCATGTCTCCCCTTTTTCACGGGCGCTGCCGTCCTGCCTGGTTCCAAGATATCCCTTACCGTTCTGCTCCAATCCCTCCTTATCCCGTCCAGTTCTTCTTGCAGCTGCTCGTCAGGCACAACGTTCTGCCAGTACCTCCTTACCCTGTGCGCGCGTGCCCCCAACCTCGCGGCGTCGCACCTCACCCCTTTTCCCAGTTTCTTCCACACCAGGTCCCTCACCTTCCTTACCGGCTCCCTGCAGTCTCCCTCTAGGTCCAGATGCTCCAGCAGGTATACCAACTTCTCCTGCCTCTCCCTGATCCAGTCCATGATGCGCAGTAAATCTAGCAGCATCGCTCCTCGGGGGTCCTCCATCCCTCTTCCCTTGCCGGCCCTCGATACCCCTTGGCATTCCCATCCTGCCACCAGCAGGTCCACTGGTCCCCAATCCCTTACCATTTCTGGCGTAATCCCCCTTACATCCTTCACTGTCCTCCGCATTGCTCTGTCTATTACCTTTGCTTCCAGCAGCTCAGGATTCTCCCTCTGGAGCATACGGGCGTGGTGTTCAGCCATCTTCCTGGCCTTCTCGTTCTTCTCCACGTATACCCACTCTTTCACCGCTATCCCTGCTTTTACTACTGCTGCCAAGCCTGCACCGATGCCTCCGAACAGTTCTACCAGCCTTATTGGTTCCTGCCATCCGCCTGCCGCCGCTGCCTTGCCGACCAGCCCTGCTTTTCCCCCTTCCTTTCTCCCTGCCTCGCCTACCGCGTATGCCCTCTTAGGTTCCTGTCTCACAAACTGCACCGGTAACTCCCTCGCCTCACTATTCTTTGTCCAGTACTGCTTCCGAAACTGCACCTGCTCCTTCCATGTGCAGATGGTCATGCCCACGCCCCATATCAGGTCCGTCCCAAGCAGTACATCAAAGTCTTCCGACTCCGATATACCGCATGGCACTTGGAGACACGTCTGCCCTTCCTGTCCTGGCAATAGTGTCACTTCTATGGGTGTTTTCGTGCAGGGTAACCACTTAGGCTCGCCTCCCTCTGCCGTCATCACCAGCATCCCTTTCTTCACGCTCTGTCCTGGCCCTGTTAGTCCTAGCTTCTGTGCCATCCGCTTACCCAGCATGACGCTCTGTGCTCCAGTGTCCAGTATGGCTGTCTTGGCTTTTTCTCCTCCCACCATCACTGCTCCTGGCTCCACCATGAGCACCGTGGCCTGACTTGCTAGTCTGTCTTTTGGGTGCCGGCCAGGCTCCTTTGTTCTGTCCCGCTGTTCCTCCTTGTCGCTCATTGGCCGCCTCCTCTCTTTCATCATCTGTTCTTTCCTTCCGTCCCTGCCCTCACTACGCAGGCCCAGGTCATCTCTGCTGCGCAGCACCATGAACTGGTATTCTGGATTTGGCTCCTCTATCACCTCTGCCTCGTCATCGTCTTCCCTCGCATACAGCCCTGCTTCTTTCTCTGGCTTTCCTCCCAGTGCCTGCAGTTGCGCCTGCAGCTTGCTGATTTGTCCTTTTATATCCTCTGGCGTCCTCCGCTGTCCTCCCGAGCGCTGGTAACAGTCCTTGCCTCTATGCCCCCGCTTCCCGCACACCTCGCAGATCGGTGCATCTGGGCAATCCTTGCGTCGGTGTCCCGGCTTCCCGCAGGTGTCACAATTCCTGCAGTTCCTCATCAAGTGTCCCGGCTGCTTGCACCGGTGGCAGGTGCGTGTCTCCGCTCCTCTCTCCTGCCGTCCTTCCTCCCTTCCTCCTGTCTCAGCCACCATTGCTGCTGCCCAAGCGGGATTCTTTCTCTCTGTCGCTCTTGGCAGGTACACCTCGTATTTCCTCTGTGCCAGCTCCACCCTTCCTGCTAACTCGAACACTTCTTCTGGTGATGCATCCGCCCCTAGCTCATAAACTCTCATTCTCAGCCCTCCTGCCAGTCCCCTGTCCAACCCGTTCAGAAACTTACTGATGATCATGCTGCTGTCCGTGCATGCCACATCTTCCGCCAGGTTCATTAATCGTCCATAGTAAGTCAGCAGCGACTCCTCATCCCTACGCCTGAACTCCTGGAACTCCCGTATGCGCGCTGCCGTATGCCCAGGGAACTGCTTCCTTAGCCGCTCCAAGAACAATACCGTCGGGTCTTCGTCGTCCTCATCTGCCCTTCTCAGCCACTCACCCATCTTCATGCGGTACAGGGTTTCTGCTTCCCCTCCCAATGTGTTTGGCAGGCTTAGGAAGAAGTCGATGGGATCCATGCCGCTGCGATCGCACCTGTACTTGACGTTGCCTATCTGCATCAGGTAGTTCTTAAGGCTTGGGCCTGTACCTTCGTTCCCCGTGAAGCGTACGGGCACCTCCACACTTGGCTGTGCTGTCGCGCTCCATCTCCCCACATCCCAGTTTCCAGAGCCTCCCTGATCTGTTTGAGCAGCCCCTCGCTGCTTTCCTCTTTCTCCTCTGCTCTCCGTGCTGGTCCCATACAGCACCCGCTCTAGCCCTTCACGTGCCGCTCTCGCTCCGCTAGATCCTTCTCCACACTGTCGTGGCCTCCTTATTCCACTCGGGCTCTGACTCCTCCTCCACCCTTCCTGACCTCCCCTGCGTCGTTCTTGATCGCCCCATTGCCGCTCTCTCTGCGCAGGAGACCGCCCCTGATGATGCCGCTCTCGCTCTTCTCGCAGCCGACCTCCTTCCCTTGCTGTTGAACCGTTCGGTGAACGTCTTCCCTTGTCTTTGTAGCGTCCTTCTCCGCCACGCCTTTCTTCCCACTCGTGGTGTCCTCTCTGATGCCGTCCCACGTCATCCAGCTCTTCTTCTCGCTTTCCTGATCCGGCTGCCGATCCCCGCCCAACGCCATGCGTCGTCGGCGGTCATACCCTGGCCTTGGTTCAGGTGAGTGGAAGACACCCACCGGTGCCCCTTGACTTGTCCCGCCTCCTTGGCGCGCCTTCGATCGGCACTCCTCTCCTCTGCCGCTCCCTCGCCGTACTCCTCCGCGCGGTCCTGCAGGTGAGAGCTCTCTTTCCCGGTGTTCTTCGCCTTCCTCTCGCGCTTTTCCACGGCGGATCCGCTCTTCCTCATCCCTCTTGTTGATCCCCTGCTTCCCTTCTTCCCGCGCAGTGGGTGACCCGTTGTGGCCGGCGTCACCGCGTCTTCCACCGCCTCGCACAGTGGGGGAATCTTCGTCGCTGGCGTCGCCGCGCCTTCCGCCGCCCCGCGCAATGGGGGATCCCTCGTCGTCGGTAACGCCGCGCCTTCCGCCGCCCCGCGCAGTGGGGGATCCCTCGTCGTCGGTAACGCCGCGCCTTCCGCCGCCCTGCGCAGTGGGGGACTCTTCGTCGCCGGCGTTGCCACGCCTTCCGCCGCCCCGCGCAGTGGGGGAATCTTCGTCGCCGGCGTCGCTGCGCCTTCCGCCGCCCCGCGCAGTGGGGGATCCCTCGTCGTCGGTAACGCCGCGCCTTCCGCCGCCCTGCGCAGTGGGGGACTCTTCGTCGCCGGCGTTGCCACGCCTTCCGCCGCCCCGCGCAGTGGGGGAATCTTAGTCGCCGGCGTCGCCGCGCCTTCCGCCGCCCCGCGCAGTGGGGGATCCCTCGTCGTCGGTGACGCCGCGCCTTCCGCCGCCCCGCGCAGTGGGGGACTCTTCGTCGCCGGCGTTGCCACGCCTTCCGCCGCCCCGTGCAGTACGGGATCCCTCGTCGCCATCGTTGCCATGTCTTCCGCCGCCCCGCGCAGTGGGGGAATCTTCGTCGCCGGCGTCGCCACGTCTTCCGCCGCCTTGCTCAGCAGGAAATCCTTCCCCGCCAGCGATGCCTCGTCTCCCGCGACCAGGAACAAGCGGGGGCTCTTCCCCCTCTTCTTCATCATCGAGCTCGCCCGTCGATTCCATCTCCACGTCTCCATCGTGATACCCTTCCTCCAGTCCGTGCTGGCCTCCCGCCAGGTTCCACGGATTGCTCGTTGCGGGTCGCCTCCAAGGCTCCGATCTGACGCGCAGATCCTCCCCGCTTCCCTCTCCTCGCACGCCCGTTGGCATCACCGGATCCGCACGATACGCTGCCCTCCGCGGCGAGCGCGTTGGCGACCTTCCGCGCTCCCTTGAGCGCCTCATACGCGACGGAGAGCGCTCCCGCCGCGAGTACGTACGCTGCGTCCGCAGCTCATGGCGATCCATATCGCCGGCGCACTTCTCTCGACTTGTGAGAGTTACGGGCTCCCACAGGATGGCTACCAAGAGCGGCTTAGTCACCTAGCTGCGATAGCTTGAGTACGGTAACAGAAATCCGCTATGATAGGTAAACAAGTCGAGAGAACAAGATTGCTTTGCTAGGCTAGGCTTCTTGTGCATTGCTACCCAGTCGCGCAATTCTCAGCGTGATGGGTTGAGCCCGAGCCGCCTAGGCCTTGGATTGGCCCTCGCCAGATTTCCTGTCTCCCAATGTCCCTGGAATTGCTCCCGCAGCGCCCTGCGCCCCCCAATGTCACCAACCCTTCGCTTCTCCCAATACCCAACTACCCCCCCTTTATAGCTTGAATAGCAATTGCTACAGCACTACTACACCTCAATTAGCAAATGTCCAGAATATGATGCACTCACCATTAGATTCGGTGACAGCAGGGCGCTCGAACCGGCTGGCCCGCCTGTCGTCTGGACTATGAACAAGGTTCGGCCCTAAACCAAGTCTAGAACAGCACTTAATCAGAATGGTATTTGAGTGGAACGAAAGGAAAGGCAGGCGCACAACGTATAGAGAGAGGTGACGGGAAACGCCTGATTTATGTCGCCTGTCAGCTGGTTGTTTGCCAGCTTCCTGTGGCACGCAAACACGAGAAAACATGGAGAGGGGAAAGGGGTGAGGAGGTGGAGATGAAGATTGGGGTTGGGAGAGTGACGTAGTTGTATCTCCCACCTTGGTATTACAGAGGATTGTTCGACAGGGGGGAGACGGCAGCACATATCTGTTGAGAGAGGGTACGAGGAGAAGGAAGAACGTATGAGTGTGTGAAAAAGACGAGAGGAAGCTGTCGGAATCTGTGCACTCTGCCGGCTTTCCTCTTCCTGTGTCCGCTCTGTCGGTGGTCATCCCTTGGGCCTTGCTGTCGCCCTTCCTGCCACATGCCCTAAACATACAAGCAAGCAGAGGCCTCCTGGCTCTCTGCGCACCTAAGTATCTTGTTTACTGTTACCGTTGCCTTTGCTTGGCCACACTTTCGGCGTTCCCGCTGTGGGAGCCGTTACTTGTTTCGGCATTCCCGCCGACCTTTGTTGTTCGCTACAAGCGAGCTACACTACTCTTGGCACACAATTATATGAAGGTTGCTGCTATTACCTATTTATCTTAGGCCTTTCTTAATTGTGTGACAGCTGTCGGAATCTGTGCACTCTGCCGGCTTTCCTCTTCCTGTGTCCGCTCTGTCGGTGGTCATCCCTTGGGCCTTGCTGTCGCCCTTCCTGCCACATGCCCTTGCCCCCTCCTCGGCTCCCTGGCCCCTGGGTTGGCCGATGGATCCCTTTTGGTGTCGGCAGGGAGGCTAGCCACTCCCTCGTTCCGCCTGGGTCGGGCGGCCGCCACGTTGGTGACATGATCTCGCTTCTCTTCCCCCTTCGCCCCCACCAATACGATCACCCCTGAGTCTTTGACTTCCCTCACCTTCCACCTCTCCTGGGTGAGCCCAATGTCCAGCAAGTCTCCCTTGGCTTTCTTGAGATACACCTCGCTTCCCGGCTGCACGTCGGCCTCCTCCCTTCCTGTATCCTTGCGCCCCCGCTGTCGGTACCTCTGCACGTCTCGCAGCTGGGCCACGTGCAAGTTCTCCAGCGCGGCTGGCAGCAGTTCCCTGAGGTACTTCGCCCGCGCCTCGGCCACGGCCACCCAGTCTGCCTCCGTCCCCACCAGTATAGTGTCTGTCAGCAGCTTCGGGGCGTCAATGGGCAGGATCGGCTCTCGGCCGAGGAGCAGATAGTATGGCGACAGGTCTCGCAACGCCGCTTGCTTGCTGAAGCGATACCCCGCCGTCACCCAGGGCAGCCGCAAGTCCCAGTCTCTCTTGTATTGCTCCCCGTAAGCACGCAGCCCCTTCTTGAGGGTCTGCACGAACCGTTCCGTCAAGCCGTCGCTCTATGGGTGGTAGCGGGACGTCCTGCGGTGCGTGATGCCGGACTCCTGCAGCAGCTGGTCAAAATGGCCCTGAAACTCCGTGCCTTGATCGGTAAGCACTTCCCCGCAGGCTCCAAACCGCGTCAGGACTTGTTCCTCGAATGCCTCCGCGATCCGCGCTGAGTTCTTGCTCGGTAGCGCCTTCACTTCCACCCACTTGCTGCCATGCTCTATCATAATGAGGATGTAGCGTTTTCCTCGTCGGCTCAGCGTCATTTCCCCTGCGAGATCGAGCGACCAGCGGAACCCCAAACCGTAAATTGGCAGCGACTGGAGCTCTTGCCTCCCGCGCTCTAACTCCGCCCGGTTACGGCTGCACAGCTCGCACGTCTGTACCCATTCCTTCACCTGCCTTCGCATCCCGGCCCACCACCAGGTCGTCCCAACCAGCTGCAGCGTCCGGAGCTCTCCATAGTGTCCTAGCTGCCGGTGCACCCTGGCTATGATGGCTTCTCGCTGCCCTGGCTCGGGCACTACCTTCCAGCCTGCCTTGGTGTTCACCTGTAGCTGGTCCTGGTACCACCGGTAGTGAGCCCCTCGGGCTCGTACCCTCTCTGGCACTCCTCCCTCCTCTCCGGTCTTGCCCTGCACCCAATCTAGCACTTCCTGGTCTTCCCACACATCTTCTGGTCCTCGAGATTGGTTCTTCCGTGCTCCTTCCTTGTCGATATCGAGGGCTAACGCTACTAAGCATTCCGTCGGGCGGTCGGTTGCTGGATGCCTCGATAGCCCATCTACGTGCTGCATGCTCTTCCCCGGCCGATGCTTAATAACGAAGTCGTATTCCTGCAGGCGCATAGCCCACCTAGCGTTCCTGCCTGTAAGGGCCTGGTTGGTCATGAGCCACGTCAAAGGCTGGTGGTCTGTCACTAGCGTGAAGGGCCTTCCTAGCAGATACACCCGGAAGTGAGTGATCGCCCAAACAGCTGCGAGCCCTTCTCCCTCGTACGAGCTGTAGTTCGCTTCCGCCGGATTGCAGCTGCGGCTCGCGAAGGCTACTACCTTCTCTTCTCCTCCCTTCTCCTGGCACAGGACCGCCCCCATCCCCGCGCTGCTCCAGTCCGTGTACAAGGTGAAGGGGTCGTCCTTGGTGGGTAGTGTCAGAAATAGGCTTAGAAGCGATGCATTAGTAATGAGCTTGAAGCTCTTTAAGTACATCCAAGAGGGGTAGGAAAAGGATGGGGAAGGGAATCGGGGGCAATCTCTAGGGATTGGGGGTAATCCCAAGGCAATCTCCAATTGGTGGGTTGGAGATTGGTTGGAGATTACATTTGGGTTTGGTTGGGATGTAGGTGTACACCCAACCAAACACAATGTGCAAACTACACTACTCTAGGATATAGAAAATACAAAGTACAAATTGTGAGATTGAAGACTAACACTAACACCCCCCCATAGGCGTCAATCGAACTCAGGGTAGAGAGGGTGGAGCACAGAGCCCCATGGCGCCAAGGAGACGGTGGTGGGGAACTTTCCCAAGGGGCTTGGTGAACAGATCAGCCAGGTTGCAGTCAGATGCAACGTATTCCACTTTCAACTGCTCTTGTTGGACAAGGTCACGGATGAAGAAGTGCCGGAGTTCAATGTGCTTGGTGCGGGTGTGATACACAGGGTCTTGAGAGATGTGGATGGTACTCTGGTTGTCACACCAGAGGGTAGGGGCGGACTGTGGGAAACCAAGTTCCTGGAGGAGGAAGGTGAGCCAACGAGCCTCCTGAGCAGCCATGGTGCCTGCGTAGAGCTCTGCCTCACATGAGGAGAGGGAGACTGCAGACGACCTGGTGGAGCGCCAACTGACAATTCCGCTCCCAAGGGTGAAGCAGTACCCCTGAGAGGAGCGTCGGTCGGTCTGGTCATCAGCCCAGGAGGAGTCGGTGTAACCCTCTAGGCGAGGAGGGGAGAGCCCACCGAGTGTGAGGACGTGAGACTTGGTGCCCTGAAGATAGCGCAACACCCGCTTGGCTGCCTTCCAGTGAAGGTCAGTGAAGCGTCCAGGGGCCACGTAGCGAGAGAGGACACTGACAGGATAGGCCAGGTCTGGCCGGGTGCACATCATGGCGTACATGAGGGACCCAACAAGCTCCGGGTATGGCTCAGAGCAGGCCTCTGGTGTGGGTACCGCTGGAGCTGTGAGGAGGTGTTGCAGCGGCAGCGGGGTGGCAACAGGTGTGCATAGCTCCATCTCAAATCGCTTGAGCACATTGTCGATGTAGAACTCCTGGGAGAGTGAGATGGTGCGAGCCTTGCGATCACGAGTGATCTCCATCCCCAGGTAGTGCTTGAGGTCACCGAGGTCTTTCATCTGGAGAGCCTTGCTTAGGGCTGCCTGGACTGAGGTCATCTGGGCCGAGTCCTTGGCCACGAGGATGAAATCATCCACGTAGACTAGGATGTAGAAGGGCTCAGAATGACGGCGGATGAAGAGAGTCGGGTCAGCAGTTGAAGGGTGGAAGTCCAGGGAGAGGAGGACTTCTTTCACCTTGTTGTGCCATTCGCGAGGGGCTTGCTTAAGGCCGTAGACGGGGCGATTCAGCTTCCAGACAGTGTTGGGAGGGAAATCTCCTGGGAAGCCTTCTGGTCTGTCCATGAACACTGTCTCCTTGAGACGTCCTTGTAGGAAGGCGGATGAGGCATCCATGGATTTGATCTCGAAGTCTTCTCGAGCTGCGACATCCATGAGCGTACGAATGGTGGGAGGTTTGGATG